TTGTCTGTATCTGAGCCCCAGCAACAAGGCGAGAAGTCTGTCTACGCTTATTGCAGTCAATGTTAATAAAGACACTGCGCCCAAAGTACTACCGAAGAAAGCTGCTGCCCGAGTCGCGTAATAGCAAATATCCCATCTTCTGTTTACAACAGAAGTCAAATAAGTCACAGCCAAAGGCTCTGTAATGATACCAACACAGAGATCAGTTATCGCTAGGTTACGATACAGGAGTTTGGACGGCGGATGAAGTGAAGTTTCCTTGTGTAGGGCAACTAGGACAAGAGTGTTCCCCAGAAATGCAGTAATGGAAAGAAAAATATTTAGAGCTGAAAGGAAAATAAGCTCGCCATCTACACTTCTTAAAAATTCCGCTGAGCACCACAGTTCTGTAAATGTTTTCTGGTTTTCATCTTCAGTAAAGTTTGTCTGAGCCATATTTCGCTGCGATGCAATGAGAGGCAAGGGAGGGCTTTCTTTATACATTGCTCATTTAATTTGGGTGGAAAGTGTTATGATTCGCACACCAGTGTTTATCACTAATAACCTAAGGCTGGGTACGCTGTAATTCTTATCGTGTTTTATTAATATCATCGTGTTTCTCCTCAGTTGTTATGTAGTTGTTCGCAAAAGCTGCAGTCAGTCGGAAAACAGTACGCACCTTTTCGTAGGGCCATAAGGGACCGCGGGTTCAGAAACGTTTTTTTGTTGTTCTAGCTAACCTAGAACTATGATGTAGCCTATCGGCTAGGCTCTGGTGAAACTAACAGTCGACTCGACAGACGATTTTAATGACCTTTCATGTTGTCTGCCCATGACGATCGACAACTTAATTAAATTGTTTTAATTTGGCAGGTAATTTTAATGACTAATCACCATTTTCCCAGGCGAGCGTTATAAGTGTTAATAACCAACTTGTCGTCAGGATGGCTGTAAAAGGGTATAATCAGTGATAGTCACAACGGTTTTAATTTTTGTGTCTGTAATGGGAGGCAAAAACTGAAAAACTTCGTAAATGCTTAAAACCATACCGGGAAGAAACCTCGGCTAGTGCCATTTTACAGTGCCCTGCAACTACTCACAGGTAAGCGCTTTACAAATTACCAGCATTCTTAGTTACGTTCTTCCTGTTTTCCTAAATTATTACACTGTTAACCAAAAGCAAAGCAGGTGATGTCTTTGTTTAGTTATATCTAAAAGCTTCAAATAGATGGAAAGCAACCCTAATGCGAGATTATGCTCACGCATTAATTTGTATCATTCAGTTGTTTTCACGCGCTACTTTAAGACAGGCCTAACCCCCGGGTCTAACGAATCCACCCAAACATGTTCAAATTGACGGAAAGCGACCCTAATGCGAGATTATGCTCGCTAATTTGTATCATTCAGTTGATCTCACGCGCTACTTTAAGACAGGGGGCCGTTTAACCCCCCGGTTTAACGAATCCACCCAGACATGTTAAAATGCCCCTGAACTCAATTTTCGGCTTTGTGAGTGAATAAATGTTTCTAGAAAAACTCACGCAACTACTGTTTGTGTTGCACTTAATAAATATTTTAAAAGCACTGAGATCAATGAACGCTCCCTTCCTTTCTCCTGTAGCTGCGTATAATTGTATAATATTATAGTTGTGTTTTATCCCCCTGATAGTTGTTATATTTCCTCGGCTTTATTTACGGTTTTGGCACCCTGAGAGCGGAGCCTCCATTTTCTTCTTCTTGATGAAGAAGAAAAGGAGACTCTCTCCATCTCTCTGCATGAGTCGTGTCAGGCCTTTGAAGTCGACGAAGAAAGAACTTCTGGGTCGGGAGTAGAAGCTGAATGATTTGACCTCGTTTATTCATTATTCTTTGTGTGTTTCTTCCAATAATTTATTATTTTTATTAAGTTCTTGTTGGTTATTCATTATTCATAATCGCTTCAGGGTACAAAGGATTGCCCTTGTTAAATTCAGGCTTAATTATAACACATTTGGTAACAATATAACTCAACTGATATCCATTAGATGTTATTTCAAGATATATTCGCACCTTTTCTTTTGTTAATCAACAACCTTTCAGTTTAACGTACAACTCTCTTATACAAACTGAAAGTCTGGGGAGCGCTTGATTGTATTGTTCTCTATTATGGTAAACGACATTACATCGGTCTACCCAGAGCGCAATCTACTGGTGAAATGTGCTGATGATCTTAGCCTAGTGTGCCCGTGTCAGCAGATCAAGATTACTCTTCCAGTGAGGTTAATAGTATTGAAAACTGGGCGGTAAAAAACCTTATGAAACTAAACCTGTTAGTATCCAGCAAGGACTAGACAATTTATTATCATATGAAAAGATCTGACTAGACACTTATAAGTATGAAGGAAGGCACAAGGAAGGCACTTATGCATTAATAAAGAGAAGGCAGATGAAAGGCAAGGGAAGCCATCAACAAGGTATATCTTTGCTAAAGGTACACCATTAATTACGTTCCTCTCAAAGTTACAACTTGTCTGTATCTTAGCCCCAGCAACAAGGCAACAAGTCTGTCCACGCTTATTGCAGTCAATGTCAATAAAGACACTGAACATAAAGTATAACCTGGAACGTTTTATGCCAACATGATAAGCGCGATAGCAAATATCCCATATTTTTTTAACAACAGAAGTCCAATAAGTTACAATCAAAAGTTCATTTCACTATTGTTCGCATGGATATATAATATATGCCGCTCTTTCCGCCAAAGAATGATCCTTTTGAATGATCCTTTTCTTTTCAAAGTTACAAGTTGTCTGTATCTGAGCCCCAGTAACAAGGCGAGAAGTCTGTCCACGCTTATTGCAGTCGATGTTAATAAAGACACTGAACACAAAGTATAACCTGAGAAACGTGATCCCCGAAGTCCGTAATTATAGCAAATATTCGAATTCCATCTTTCCGTCACCACAGAAATCCAATAAGTCACATTCAAAGGCTGTCCAATGATAGCAACACAGAGATCAGTTATCGCTAGGTTACGATACAGGAGTTTGGACGGCGGGTGAAGTGAAGTTTCCTTGTGTAAAGCAACTAGGATCAGAGTGTTCCCCAGAAATGCAGTGATGGAAAGAAATATATTTACAGCGGAAAGAAAAATAAGCTCGCAATCTACACCTCTGATAAATTCGGCCGAGCACCACAGTTCTCTTAGTGGTTTTTGGTTTTCATCGTCAGTTAAGTTTGTCTGTGCCATATTTCTCCGCGATACAATGAGGGGCAACTGAGGGCTCTTTTTATACATCGCTCATTTCATTTGGGTGGAAAGTGTTTAAGGATTCGCAAACCGGTGTTTACTAATAACGTACGTCTGGAGACGTGGTAATTTTTCTGGTATTTTTAATAACATCATCGTGTTTCTCGTCAGTTGTTCGCAAAAGCTGCATTCAGTCTGCAGAAAACAGTACGCACGCCTTCGTCGGGCCATACGGTGCCGGGGGTTCAGAAAAGTTTTGTAGTTGTTCAAGCTTACAACTACAACTATGATGTAGTCTATCGGCCACGCTCAGGTGAAACAAACTCGTCTCGACGGACGATTTTAATGAATTATTATGTTGCCAGTATCCAGTGCAAAAAATTAAATTATATTGAATTAATTTGGCAGAAATTTGTAATAATTGAGGAGAGAACACAAGCTGCGAAGTTTACAAGCTTGAGCAATCACCATTTTCCCAGGCGAGCGTTATAAGTGTTAATAACCAACTTGACGTCAGATGGCTGTAAAAGGGTATAATCAGTGATAGCAATAACGGTTTTAATTTTTGTGTCTGTAATGGGAGGCCAAAACTAAAAAACTTCGTAACCATACCGGAAAGAAACCTTGGCTAGTATTACAGTACATTAAAATTTGTCCACTGACTGCCATTTCACTGCCCTGCAACTACTCGCAAGTACCCGCTTTACAAAATTAATAACCTGATCAGTATTTCCCAAGAGCAGCTATATTGTGTGAACTAATTATCTAAAGCATGGTAACTTCATTCCTAGTTCTTCCTGTTTTTCTGAATTATTGGCACTGTTAACAGAAAACAAAGCAGGTGATGTCTTTGTTTGGTTATAATTTAAAGCTTCAAATAGACATAAAACAACCCTTATTATTCGTTCAAAAATTTTCCACGATTCTGATTGGCTAAAAGCACCCGCATAATTCACTACTGATGACCAAATTTGGAAGAATTTTGCGATTAATCAACCGATGACGTCAAAAGTGCAGCTTCCTTGCAGATTAATGCACCGTTAACCGAGAAGACCTGGGGACGAGGTTGAGTTGTTTTGGTTCTGAAAACGAAAATGGCCAACATTTCACTCGTTTCAAGAGTAGGAACTACGCGAAATAATAGCTAAAATCATGGCACAAACATCAAGAAGACAGCTCGATGGGCGACATCTGCTATTTCGAGAATATTGGCGGAGCTGAACAACCCTAAACGTGCACTATCGACATCGATGGAAGTAAACACGTTTTACCTATGTTTTTAAACTAGGAATTATTTTGAATACATATTAATAAAAAAAAAATTTGAATTCGGCTTTCGTATCATATGAAGAATTATGGAGATCTAGGAGGGTGTTATGCGCCTCGGCCAGATAACAGCCTCCTCGATCTCCATAATTCTTCATATTATACGAAAGCCGAATTCATTAATTGTTAAATTATTATGACTCGTGTATTAATTTTTTATCCCTAATTTTAAAGACAGAAAGTCTAACCTCCGGGTCTAACCAATCCACCCAGACATGTTAAAATGCCCTTGAGCTCAATTTTCGGCTTTATGAGCAAATAAACATTTCTAGAAATACCCACGCAACTACCATTTGTGTTGCACTAGATAAATATTATAAAAGCGCTGAGATCACTTTACGCTCTCTTCCTTTCTCCTGTCCGTATTTTATTAGTTGCGTTTTATCCCCCTGATAGTTCTTATATTTTCTCGGCTTTATTAACGGCTTTGGCACCCTGCGAGTAGAGCCTCCGTTTTTCTTTTTCTTGATCGAGGAGAAGAAAAGGAAACTCTCTTGATCTCTCCGCATGAATCGTGCCAAGCCTTTGAAGTCGACGAAGAAAGAACTTCTGGATCGGGGGTGGAAGCTGAATAATTTAACCTCGTTTATTACCGTAATTATTCTTTGCGTGTTTCTTCCAATTATTCATTATCCTTATTAAGTTCCTGTTGGTTATCGATTATTCATAATCGCTTTAGGGTACAAAGGATTGCCTTTGTTAAATTCAGGTTTAATTATAACACATTTATTTTGGTAATAATATAAATCAAGTGATATTTATTAGTTGTTATTTCATGATTGGCACCTCTTCTTTTGTTATTCAACAACCTTTATTTAACGTACAACCCTCTTGAATATTTAACAAACTGAAAGTCCGGTGAGCGCTAGTCTGCTACACAGCCGTTTTTAGTGACGACACTAAAAACGGCTGTGTAACAGACTAGGGGAGCGCTTGATATAGGCGTCCTTTTCATTACCATTTTGAACGTTTGTAACAATTTATTACATCTTTAATAAATAGTATTATCAATTCATTGTGTATTGTGAATGTATTTTATGTGGTTAAGGGCAAAATAAAGGAATGAATAAAAATTAATGGTCCAGTTTTGTTATTTTAGACTATATTTAGGCACTGAAACTGTTTCCTGGCGTCTGTTGCAACAGATGGCAAGGATGAACATGGATTAAAACTTGAAATTGTGGGCCAACGTTTTCAAGGTTTTAATGCATTGCTATCCCTGCAAAATTCACCAAAATTATTACAGGAAATGTGATAAATCAGCCCAAACATGTTACACTTTTCCGTTGTGTTACGAAGAATAACAATTCCTAGAAAAACCCAAGTAATTACCGTATTTATTGCACTATATGAAATGAGACAGTGTAATGAGGAACTGAGCTGAGATCTATAACCTCCCCAATCCCACCCACAGTGCGTATTTAGTTACTTTCCATCTCCTAGACGATCCTCACAGTTTCTCGATTATATCAAAGGCTTTTTTCCGGGGCATCCAGTACAAGGATGGGTGGATTCCGCCCTCCACTCTCACTAAAACCTCTTCCGGTCAGTCCAAAAGTGGGGAGGACTTATTTGAATAAATTTTGTCTTTAGAGGTGTCCGGCTAGCGCACTGCAACCACTATCCATTCTCAAACCAGGGCAGATTAAATTTGCTCTCCCATATCGGAATCAAGAGTTAAATTGCATACCCTATATCATTCCGGAAGGAACAAGTATGTTTTATTTCATTACGTTTTCTCCGCAGTACTACATAAGTTCTAATTTAGGTATAAAGCAACAAGATATTCGACACCTGTCAAGGACAGAAATGCTACACCCAATTTAGTAACCCCATCACAGACTGAGTAAGATACCCATAATGGTGGTACATTGGCCGCAAAGACACCTGGGACTGTTACTAGGGATAGAGAAAAATTTGGCCGATAGCTGACTGACGTGTCCCCAGTAGCGATCCCAGAAAACATTGCGGGACACATTTGGGCTCCAATCCCTTTCTCGTTTGTAAAGTGGCGAATTAGGGGNTATTTAACGAACAACCCTCTTGAATATTTAACAAACTGAAAGTCCGGTGAGCGCTAGTCTGCTACACAGCCGTTTTTAGTGACGACACTAAAAACGGCTGTGTAACAGACTAGGGGAGCGCTTAATATAGGCGTCCTTTTCATTACCATTTTGAACGTTTGTAACAATTTATTACATCTTTAATAAATAGTATTATCAATTCATTGTGTATTGTGAATGTATTTTATGTGGTTAAGGGCAAAATAAAAGAAATGGATAAAATTAATGGTCCAGTTTTGTTATTTTAGACTATATTTAGGCACTGAAATTGTTTCCTGGCGTCTGTTGCTACAGATGGCAAGGATGAACATGGATTAAAACTTGAAATTGTGGGCCAACGTTTTCAAGGTTTTAATGCATTGCTATCCCTGCAAAATTCACCAAAATTATTACAGGAAATGTCATAAATCAGCCCAAACATGTTACACTTTTCCGTTGTGTTACGAAGAACAACAATTCCTAGAAAAACCCAAGTAATTACCGTGTTTATTGCACTATATGAAATGAGACAGTGTAATGAGGAACTGAGCTGAGATCTATAACCTCCCCAATCCCACCCACAGTGCGTATTTAGTTACTTTCCATCTCCTAGACGATCCTCACAGTTTCTCGATTTTATCAAAGGCTTTTTTCCGGGGCATCCAGTACAAGGATGGGTGGATTCCGCCCTCCACTCTCGCTAAAACCTCTTCCGGTCAGTCCAAAAGTGGGGAGGGCTTATTTGAATAAATTTTGTGCGATAAATGTCGAGCGGTGTCCGGCTAGAGCACTGCAACCACTATCCATTCTCAAACCAGGACAGATTAAATTTGCTCTCCCATATCGGAATCAAGAGTTAAATTGCATACCCTATATCATTCCGGAAGGAACAAGTATGTTTTATTTCATTACGTTTTCTCCGCAGTACTACATAAGTTCTAATTTAGGTATAAAGCAACAAGATATTCGACACCTGTCAAGGACAGAAATGCTACACCCAATTTAGTAACCCCATCACAGACTGAGTAAGATACCCATAATGGTGGTACATTGGCCGCAAAGACACCTGGGACTGTTACTAGGGATAGAGAAAAATTTGGCCGATAGCTGACTGACGTGTCCCCAGTAGCGATCCCAGAAAACATTGCGGGACACATTTGGGCTCCAATCCCTTTCTCGTTTGTAAAGTGGCGAATTAGGGGATCTATACCTTCAACCACCCCCCGCCCCCTCCCCCTCCATCTCCCACAATGTCCCTGTAGGTGCTTCATGCGACTAAAAGCCGTAAGAAGCTCGGGCCTATTGGGCGACGATATTTATTTATCAAATGGATCAGTAACCCGACCCAGACACTCGATCAACTTCAATTCCTTCTTGTTTGAGTCACAAAAGAGACACTTTCAGTCCCTGAGACGAGCTTTTCGGAATACAACCCGAACATATTCGAAAGCGGCCGAATATCTTCGAAGACCTTCAATTTGCATTTCTGCAACGTCGCTCGGAATTGCTCGTTCAGTCAGGTGTGACTAAACGTAACGTTAAAGATACGAGTTACGGGGTATACGCTACGAGCTCTGAATACACACTCAGGCAAAATGTTTGCCCCTCGGTATGTAATTCTTAAGGTATCCA